TCTATATCTATCTATCTATCTATCTATCTATCTATCTATCTATCTATCTATCTATCAATCTATCTATCTATCTATCCATACACCCACACACACACACACCCCTTCAAAATCTGTAGTGAACAGTACATTGTCTGGGTCAACTTACTTTGCACAAAATCTTGATAACAATGATGATATCAATTAAATATACATAATAATACTTTCAGCTTACTCAGAATAGCTTCCATCCTGCGATGAGGCCTTTAATGACCATAAAACCTACCCCAGATCCTCGGGAAGGACTCAGTAGGTAGACAAAAAAATGCCAAATCCAGTGTGAACGTCTGGCTGATTGTGTGACCGGCCATAACAGAATAACGGAAGGGACCTTGGAGGTCTTCTAGTCCAACCTCCTGCTTAAGCAGGGGACCCTAGGCCATTTCAATCAATCAGAATAAAGCTGGAAGGGTCCTTGGAGGTCTTCTAGTCCAACCTCCACAAACAGGAGACTCTATGTATTATTTTAATCAATCAATCAATCAATGAGAATAGAGCTGGAAGGGACCTTGGAGGTCTTCTAGTCTAACCCCCTGCTCGAGCAGGCAACCCCAGACCATTTCACATCAATGAAGACAGGGTGAAAATCTCTCCTGTGCTAGTCATTCATTGAATACGTGAAGGTTCATATATTAAAATAAATTATATATTATTCAGGAGTTTCTTTCTGGTGTTTGCAAAAGGCTGAAATCACTGCCCTCTTGGGGCCGGAGGTGGAATCAAAAGTCCTGCAAATAAGTTTTATTTCCCTCTTATTTATTTCAACCTCACTCAAAAACGCAGGTTCTTCTCCATCTTTTTACAATAACCCTGTGAGGTAGGCCATGCTGAGAGAACATACCCTGAATATTTTGAATTTCAAAACAACTCTTGTAAACACAAACTCCCCCCCCCCCAAAAAAAAACACAGACACACAAATGAACCCCAGTCAATAAAGTCATTGACTTTAATTTTTCCTCCTCACGAACCCACAAATATAGAATCTGGAGCAAAGGGAAGGGAGGCCAACCCCCAATTTTTAATTGTTAAAAACAGAAGTAACTGCAGGGGAAAGCCCCAAATTTCCTGTTTTTTTTCCATTAAAGAAGCTGAAATCTTTTTTTTGCATTCGAAATTTTTTAAAAAAATCTCCCTGCTGTGTCATCAACATTTGTTTTTTTGACCCGCTAATCTGCAGCTCCGGGAAAGGAAACGTTATCTCAGCCAGCCCGTAGAAATCAGCAAAGATTTGAGGTGCAGGCAGAAAACGCATTCGCCATCTCTGTTAAGATATGAGTTTATCTTAATTTCAATTTTAAGCAAAGGCGGAGATGGGCGGTGATTTCAGCTGAATGAGTCAATAAATAGCAATCAATTGAGGGCATTTGCTTTGAAAATGCTAGTAGTTTTCCTAATTTTTCCAATAATGATGGGGGGAAAAATTGAGGGAATGGGGACAGAAAAAGGAGGAGGATTCTGAAATTTTTTCCCTCTAGAGATAAGTGGTGGAGAAGTGACTGAAAAGTATAATAGAAAATCCAGAGAGGGCACTAGCATGAAACATTAAAATTAAAAAGAAGGAGGCTAATTAAGAAATGGATGGGAAATTACACCCATCCGTCATCGTTTTCCTCCAAGAAATGAATAACACTAGGAAAGAATGCAAAGTTTGATTACGGTAGATATTATTTCCCTCTGGCACATATTTCAGGGTTGAATGTCTGTCTGGATTTGCTTCCGATGAAAAGCCAAAAAAACGTTGGGTTATATTATCTTTGCATATTTGTTTCAAGGGTTGATTACTGGCTCTCAGTAGTCCAGCCTGTTCGACGTGTGAGCCAGAGGAACAGGCTGCCACTTGAAGCCGTCAATCTTTCTGCAGAAGCTGCAGAGTTTCTTGACCGTGGCAACTTCAAGATAGGTGGACTTCGACTCCCAGAATTCCCCAGCCAGCATGACTGGACTTCATCTCCCAGAATTCTCCAGCAAGCATGGGTGGACTTCATCTCCCAGAATTCTCCAGCCAATATGGAGGGACTTCATCTCCCAGAATTCTCCAGCCAATATGGAGGGACTTCATCTCCCAGAATTCTCCAGCAAGCATGGATGGACTTCATCTCCCAGAATTCCCCAGCCAGCATGGATGGACTTCATCTCCCAGAATTCTCCAGCAAGCATGGATGGACTTCAGCTCCCAGAATTCTCCAGCCAATATGGAGGGACTTCATCTCCCAGAATTCCCCAGCCAGCATGGGTGGACTTCATCTCCCAGAATTCCCCAGCCAGCATGGATGGACTTCATCTCCCAGAATTCTCCAGCAAGCATGGATGGACTTCATCTCCCAGAATTCCCCAGCCAGCATGGATGGACTTCATCTCCCAGAATTCTCCAGCAAGCATGGATGGA